CTGCAATTCTTGTGTCTTCCTCTTATGAAATAATTGATTAATAGCACTTGGTTCTTTTCACAAACAAAGTCATGAAATATCAGAAGCTTTTGGTTATTACCATTTATTTCTGAAACTGGCTGTATTTCATCATTACTAACTTCCAATATATCATAACCAACTTCTTTACTTATTGGTTTGAAAGTCTTCATCAGATATTCATATTTTGATTGTTCGAGATTCTTAGCATACAAATGACATTTATTGAAATACAGTAAATTCATTATCATATGGAGCAATGAATTCGTCTTTCCTGAGCCTGATGGGCCACAAATTAGCATCCGAAAGCAACGATCAGGCATAAATTGGTATAATTGTTTATAATTTCCAACATCCTCTTTAATATCATAATTTGGTATTTTCATATTATATCAGTATATAATTTTAGTAATACATGGTGTATTACATGATGTACTACATGATGTTTTATATAATATAATTGTATAATGAGTTTACTAAAGTGGAAAGAACTTGCAAAAAAGAAAACTGAATTGGGTGGTAAAATCAATTACATTCATAATACAATAACACAAAGTGATATTGATAAACAGACAAGTCATGAATCTTTCAAAAAGATGTTCAAGCTGATTACAACCAAATTAGATGATGTTATTGTCAGTAATTTCAAAATGCCTCCAAGAAAAAGACGTCAACCTAAAAAGGAAGAAGTACCAAATTACAGTCTTGATATTGATGATGAGGTTGAAGATATGAATCTGGGTGATTTATTTGATCAACCTGTTTTACCAGAAAACACCAAACAAATAGTACCAAAACCACCAACCTACGAAGAATCATTGCAGGATGTTTTAGAGGGGAAAAAGAGATTTATGTTGATCCTCAATATTTGTCTCAAGAACCACAAGAAATGCCTCCAGAATAAGGCAAGAATGAAGTACCTGATTATGAGATAGCTGATGAAGACATGGCTAACAAGATGTTAGATGATATTGGTGTAACAAATTATGATGATGTAGAAATGCAATTGAATCAACCTGAAATGACGCCACAAAAAAATAAAGCATATCTTGATAAGATAATAAAAGATGTGGAATGAAGATGCAAACAATTGAAAGGTTATCAGTCAGCTGTCATAAAACAATTCAAAAGTGGAGTAATATCTGAAGCTGAAAGGCAAGAGAATTGGAAAGAATACAGAATCCAAATGCTGTGTTGGGTCAATATATAAATTATTACAAAATCAAAGTCAAAATGATGAAAGGATCTGGAATTCGAAGAGGTGGAAATGTTATGTTTTTCAACAATCCAAAACAGCTTCTCAAAAAATTAGAAATTATAATAGGAGAGATTATGGCTGGTAATACTTCAATAAAGATGAGAAACATGGGAGTTGCTCTGTTAGACACATTGTTACAAATATAAGCAATCAGTAAATCACAGTACAATAAATTGCACAAAAATTATTTCTCAATATAATCTTACTAACTGTGTATGGAATGAGAAATTGTATTATCAAATTATTTGAATAAAAGTAGTGCAAACAATACACCAGCCAATTTTGTAACCAATTTTGATAGACCAATTATTTTGGATAGTAATCATGAGTACATGATTGGTTTGAACAGAATAATAAACATGTCATTCACATGGTTTAACATCAATCCTGGTTATAATAATCAGAAATAAAATACAGCTCAGATGGTGGTTCAAATTGGAAAGAACTTACATTTCCAGCTGGTGTTTATAATTACATTAATCTTGACCTGTTCTTGAAAAATGAAACTGTAATAGAAAGTGAAGGTAAAAAAGATGAATATCCAATAACATTAGAATTTCAAACTAGCACCTTCAGAGTATTAATAAAATTGAAAACAAATTACCAACTTGACTTGACTGGATCAAATTTTCATGACCTTGTTGGCTTTGACAAAGTCATTCTTAAAGATGTTGAAAATTATGGGTCACGAATGCCTAATTTAAGTCAAGATACAGAAATGCTGAACATACACTGTGATTTGGTTAATACCAGCCTTGTTGATGGAGTAGATACAGATGTAATATACAGTTTTAGCACACCTATCTTGAAACTGTCGTATAGTTTCACTATGGAACCATGGAGAGTCACATTTAATCCTGTGAATAAGAACACTATTTCAAGAATAAGAATATATAACCGATGGTAAAAGAAGACAGATAAATCTTAATGGCGTAGATACAGCTTTTAGCTTGTTATTGAAAAGAGTTATGTAATCCATTTATATGAAACCATATGAATTCAAAAGATTTTACCATCCTAAAATGGGCAAATTTGTGTGCAAGCACAAAGGAAACGGATCAATTGCTGACAATATATTCAAACCGATAAGAAGTATAGCATCAACTGTTGCTAAACCATTTGCAAAAAAAGCAATAAAATCTGGAGTGGAACACGCTGGTGAGCGTTTGGGTAAAAAAGCAGCAGAAAAATTTGGTGATCTGATAATGAGGAGATTGGGAAATATGAGACAAAAAACACCGAGTAGATTAAAATCTTCTCTTCCAACGATGAAAAAGAAAGTACAGATATCATATGGAATCGTTTAATATCAGGAGAAGGTGTAAGAAAAAGGAAAGGAAAGGGACTACTACTAGGAAACTAGTGAGATAATCTCAGATAGTGCAGAGTGTAATTTACGGCTCTGATGCAGTAGTCACACAGGTCCTCACCCCTGCTGTTCTTTCCCTACGTAGTCAACTAGGCCTTTTCCACTTTGCAGAATATGAGCGTTAAAAAACTTGATAAGACGTAATCTTAGCTGTGTGTATGTTTTGTGTTTGTGTTTTGCCCAAAAATAACTTACAATTACCATTTGTCAAGTTAAATATCTGCTGGAAAGTTGAAGAGGAATGATTTGTCTTATTCAAAATGTAAATTTTCATTTCACCGATAAACAAGAACTAATCTAATTATCAAATAGTCACGTCGAATCACAGAATAGTGCTTTCTAATTCTGTTGCCAGCCGAGTTGGTGTGAACAATAAAACCACATCAAACTAATACACAACGCTATCGAGCAATACAACTGAGGAGCGTTTCAACGAAAAGTATTGAAGGTAGAGATCTTTACTAGACCAAAATTACATCCCACATTGGTGAGTGAGTCGCCTCATNGAAGCAGTATGTTCCCATTCTCTATTTCAACCCTGGTAAACACACAATAGTTATAAAACAGCAGACGACATTTCTTGAATTGAGCTAGGGAAGATTCCAGAAGATACGCAGTCACAGTAGCGTTCTTTGCACTAAAAAAGGAGAACTGACATTACAAGTATAACTGCTATCCCACCCAAAACGAGAATGTGATATCACTCATTACAAAAAATAAAAAAAACCGTGCATCTGAACTCAAGAACGGAGTTTATCACACTAGCAATGCTAGAACACATGCGTTTTATATGTTATGAAATGTATCTTTCACCTAACATATAGTGGACTTTGACGCTAACTAATCTGCGCATGTGTTTGGAGCAAATTGCTTTTCTTGAGAGAATGGCACCACAAGGGTAGCATGAGATTTGCAAAACTACATATATATATTTTTGTCCTGTGATCAAAGAAAGCAACGCAAGTATGACACGTCTTGCGTAATGCACTCGGGTACCTACCGCACCCAACTCCCCTTCCCGCAAGGCTAATTGATTAATTGAAATTAATTTATTAAACAAACATTAAAGTTTACACCTTATGGCATTAGTGCCTTAGTGAACAGCAGCCCCCTAAACCTTCCCAATAGTGCACTCTGCACTAAAAACAGTCCATTCAACTCAATTCCAATACTTGGGCAAATATTATAAAATAATATTTTTATCTAAACTAAAAGTATAACGGCTTTTAGATCAAGTGAAATGTTACAATGAAATGAACTGGTAAGATACCAGTTAGATGATGCAATAAGAGCGCTGGCTAATGGTCAGCATCAAGATAAAAATGGATACAAATTCACAATCAATGACAGATCAGCATTTTATGATTGGTATAATGCGTATTTTGAAATTCAGTTTCAATTACATAAACTTGCTGATGGAACAGCTTATGGAGCAGATTGAGTTTCAGTAATCAGTGGCTCACCTGGTTTCATAAATCATCTGATGATCAAATCTGCTGGTAAAATTGTTTATGATACAGATAATCTTCACGAGGTTACTTTTGTGAAAAATCTGTTGGAGTATTCTGATGATTTCAGCAGATCAGTAGGAAAAAACAGTCTTTGGTATTTGGATACTGGTGCTGCAATTGATAATGCGAATGTGAATACAGGATTTGAAGCAAGAAGGCTTCTTACAACAGGAAAAGCTGATGTCAATGTTGTTATACTGCTGAACAGATACAGTTTCTTTGAAGTATTAGAAGATAAGATGCTTATACCAATGCAATTACAATTTGTAACTGACTCCAGGCGCGATTACTGCAAGTTCAGAATTACAAATTGCAGGACGTCGAAGCACTGATCAAGAGCACTAGACTTTGTGTTGATTCCAACAATTATCTTTATTACAATGATCCAATGCTCAAAACCGTCAAACTAAAATACAAGTAAAATATCTAGTCTAAGCGACACAAAATGACAAAGCCGAACAATAATTGGATATGATAAACACATGAATGCAGGAAAAGGCAAAAACAACTAAATTACAAATAAACCGACGAAATGAAACTAAGAAAGGTAAACACATGCTTACCGATTGTCCTCTCCGTATGCCTGAGTAGTTATAAACGCAGAATCCAAAAAACTTCGCAATAAATGCAATAAACTTCGCAAACGCAATAACAGATCATGCACACAGACGAATAGTAAAACTGACGCACAGGGTTCTGAAATATGATCTAACGGAAACGTCACTAATATCTAACCTA